TGTGACTTGAACTGCAATTTAATCCTCATAGAAATTCAAAGCTTTTACAGCTCAGTGCAGCTACCAGGTTAGTGCTTGTAACAGTCCTCTTGGCTGCAAAGGAGAAGCAGTTTGAAATGCTCATCTGGCAAAATGATGAAACTCCTGTCTTCCACTACAGAGGAATTTCATGTGAAAACACAACAATCTGGGAAATAACCTGTGAAAAACATCAAACCCAGTTTCTCACACATCCCATAAAAGGAGCTGGCACCCTGCACAGCAGACTGGGTTTGAATAGAGTGCAATGAGAAATGTTTAGCTTTCCTAAAAATCACAGCAATATATTTATTTTTGAAGCTCTATCACTGAAAATAGATTGGACAATTAATGGAAAAGTTTCCAAAACATTCCAGCCCTGGCACTAAGCATGAGAAACTCCAGGCTGAAGGATGGCCAGAAATAGGAGTCATGGATCGGTCAACTCCAGAGGCACTGCAGTGCTGTTTCAGTGAGCCTGATGCCATAATCTTCCTACTGGGATCCAGGTCCATCTCCAGGTGGAACCTGGAATGTGTAAAAAAGCCAGGAAAGGGGTTGGAGTTCAGAGGCCATCAGATATCCCTGAAATGTCAGGAGCACAGTCCAGGCAGATCAATGTAATATTAAATATTGATAAGTTTCTACCATTTCCATCTGTGTTCTGTTGGAACATCTTTACTTCCAGGAAGGTGGGTGAAGCAGACATCAAGGATGGCAAGAGTATTTATTGAAATGACAGCTGTGGTGGAATTGCAACCATTAAGAATGCTGACCTGCATCAGGCCAGCAAGCAGCTACGTCAATCTGGAAGGCCTCACAGGGCAGCACACAGACAGTGTGACACCACTTCTGGTTAAAGAATAAGGTACACAGTCTGAGCCTTGCAGCATTTCTCTCTATAAACAGCAATCCAGGTATTGCTAAGCTTCCACAAGTATGCTGCTAAATTCTTTTGAAGCTCATGCAGAAATGGAGCTGCTGTCTTTTTCCTGACTTTAGAAAATACTTGTTTAAATATTCACATTTTAGGACAAATATTTTTATCCCCCCCTAAAGGTAAATGCCTTAGATGTGCTGAACAAAATGGCCTCCACCATTTTGGCATAGAAGGGATGGGAATTATGAAGTAAAAAATTTTACTCTCTAAAAAATTACCCCTAATTTTTCCTTGTAATTATCTTCAGTACCTGAATGCATGGTTTGGCAATGAAGAGCTGTCACTGTGGAGCACAGCAGCCAGAAAAACGAGTGAGAAATGGCAGAAAATGCTTAAGCCACTGTGAATGGAAGTGGTACTCTGATTTGAATGAACACTTGCATGTCTGCAGAGACCCTCAGCACATCCCTGCAGCATTTTCAGATGCAGAGATACCTCCTGACATGCAAATACAGGCATGCATGTGTTCCACACCCTTAGATTTACTTCAAGTCTAACTCAAGTTTGCAGCAGATACCACTTTCTCTGGTGCTGGCTGAAGACAAGGAAAATATCTCCCACAGGATTTAAGGGCCATTGCAAGCCTAACCATTTCTGTTTGAAGGTCACAGCAAGATCCAAGAAATGTGCCATATCTAGTAAACAAATAACTAATTCCTTTACAAATTTGGCCACTGCAGCATATCTTTCCCCACAGACAGAGGATGAAAAAGGCTCTGTGCAACAATTATAACCATATTGCTTAATGGCATACTGAAGTACACTTAATGGTTATTTTACTGCAGTAAAATCTATACAGACAAAAATAACCATATCAATAGGTCCAAGTTTTAAATTCCCATGCACAGGACATGCAGTCTCAGCCTGCCAACAGTTATGCTGCCATGCATACATGTCATACTGGTCTTTCCTGCTTCACTGCCTGGCTTTGTTTCTGCTCCAAGCAGCCAGCTCAGCCAGGCAGGCTTTGTCTGAACTCCAGCACAGAGCAAGCTCAGACTCCACCATCACAGCACTTCATGGGCTCTCTTATACACCGTGTTCCTGCCTCAGCTGGGCAGCATCAGCCCCTGCACCTGTGTCTCCAGAGATGGGAGGCAGCTGTTCTCTACTTGGGAGCCCCAGCAGACACAAGGAAGGAGGCACTAGTTCTCTTTATCATCATGTACAGGGAGGAGCTCAACAGGACAGATGTGGTTCACAGGGACGTTTGGCCCCCAACAAACTCTGAAGGATGAGTTTGCTTTGATACCTTTCCAGCCCTCAGGAACTTCTGCAACCTCCCTTAGCAGGGAGAAACACATGCTCCACATCTTTCCATCTCCCTCTGCCTGCCTTATCCTTCCTCATAGTCTTCATAAAAAAAAAAACCAAAAAAACTTAGAATAACCCAATTGAGAGTGCGATCAACAGTGAAGGAACAGATGTGTTTTCTGCTTGCTAGCAGAAAACCAGCCTTAGATAGAAAACTTACATATCACAGTTGAAGGCCCTCTGTGATGCAAGGAAGTGGGAAATCAAAGGTCTGAACCAGTAAAGCTGAGAATGTCAAATGGGAATCACAATGAAAAATATCAGTTGGATCTGGAAATTAAAGTCCAGCCTCACAGAGTCCCAGAGGGAGGTGCAAAAAGACACTGCTCACCAGAGGAGTGATTTTGGAGAAAACTAGGAATTCCTCAGTCAGATGTCCTGTAGCTTGCAAGGAAAATCTAGGAGGCTGTTCCTCTCCCAGGCACACTCAGTACTGCATTGGCTGCTTCAGAACAAGTCTGCTGTAAAGAGGAAGGAGCCCAGTTACAAAAGCAAATAAATGTTAGTTGTATGGTAAGGAAGAAGAGGGAGAACAGAAAGTGGATTGCTCTTACTGCAGAAAAACCAGAATAAAGTGCCTTACAAAAACTTGGTGAATCTGGGGTCCCATGGAAGAAGAAAAATAATGACAGACCACCTGCTGTCTGGGATACAACTAGCACCATATACATCTAAATCTGAAGTTGTTTTAAATCATCTGCAACAGAAATGATTTGTGATGACATCAGACTATTAGGTCATCGTCCATTCATCATGAGCTGGGGCTCACCCAAATTTCCATCCATAGTTAGACCAGCAGCCACTACAGTATAAATAACAAAACCTGTAATTAATTTCTGGCTCATATGCAGTCCTTTCACTAATAAAACATTGATATCAGTGACCTAGCACTGTCTTTCATGAACTGAACTGAGGCAGACTGTGCATATTCATTTTTTGCCCCCAGACTGAGCAGAAGTCAATAAATGAGCTATAGCCAGTGCATTGAGATTTAGAAGGGTTTGATGGTACTTTTAATTTTATACCTCTGCTGAATTTGTAATTTCTCGACCTCAGCCCATGCATCATGCTTTTGATGGAGATTTATTGAAGTCAAGATTTCACAGCTTTGAGCAAGATTCAGAATATAGTTTATGGATGCAAGAGAGGTCAGAAATGATGAAGTGGAGCACAAGAGGCACACCTTAAGGAAAGAATTTTCCTCCTGTCTCTGAAGACTGATCAGCTGTGGCTCCAAAAATTCTGTTCAGCAGCTTGGTCTCCTCAAAATGTCCCAATCTCACTCTATTTCTCCTCCCCAGCCCCTAAATATTCCGCTGCATTTGGGAATCATTTTTTCCAGGCCTGTTACCAGCTGTGCTGCACTTGAGGTGCAATGCCCTACCACCACCCCACCTGCTGAAGTATGAGCTCAGCTACTGAGGCAGCACCCCTTTCCAAGAACTTGAGGTTTTAGAAATGACAAGAACAGCCTTCCCCATGGGAGCTTCCTGAAGGAGGAAATGTACATTTCCTACATTCATTGTGTGTGTTTTGGGCCTCCTTGATATGGAATTAACAGGGAACAGGAGCAACAGCTGAAATTTTGAGGTCTGCAGTGATGGAAGTCAAGATGTCCATTCCCTGCTACTGCCTCTTACTCCTCTGCTCCTGCTGACCCCTGGTGATGTGACAACCTTCCACCTCAGTTCAGTGACACTCCAGTGCCCAATTCCCTAGCAGGTTCCTTTGTACCAGGCTGCTGTGTCTCAGCAGGAATCCAGGCTGCCAGCAGTGCATAAATGCACATAGCCCGGAGCCTGAGGTGGAGACACACAGATGTAATGCCTTTTATCCTCTTTTGTCAGAAAAATGTAATTTACTTACTACTGCTATTCACTGTTAATAGAGAGAGGAGCTTGTCGATACAAAAGTAATACTGCTTTAGTATACTGATAGCATTAAACCAGTGCAGCTTCCTCAGGATGGACCCAGCTGCTGGATTCAATGTGTTTATAGCATGACATCGCCAGGGGAATGAGCTATAAACACATAACAGGCCTTTGCACCCCCCTTGACAGCATCAGGTCACATTTCAGTTAGATAAACAAAAATACCATCCAGAAGTACACCTCCAATCAAAATAATAACGCTATGCAAGCAAGGTCTGAATTTCTGGCTATCATGGCAGAGACAGATGCATCCAGAGGGTCCTCTCCAGATGGTCTGTACTGGCTCAGAAAATAGGTCCCTTGATGCATCTCAGTGAGCATTAACAGGCCATAGCCAGTGAAGACCATTGACATTCAGTACTTCACTGCTGAAGACACAGCCAGGATTTCCTCAAGCCTGAACAAATGGTACCTGTTCATCTGTCTCCTTGCCACTAATGTCCATCTCCCCAGCTGGCTTATCATCCAACTACCTTGCAAATGTCTCATTCACACAGTGCTGCTGTTGATAGGTGTCGTTGTTGGGGCGGTCACGACACAACGAAGAGACTAGAAGCAGTCTCATTTGGCAACTGTTTAATACGAAATATGTCTGACTTTTTATACACTCTGTGATAGTTTATACTTCTTCTACCTTAACTATTGGCCACAATAAATCAACATAACCATTGGTGAAAAGTTACAGTGACTTAACTAACTTTCTAAAAATACTCCATCCAGCTGCAAAGTTCTCTTCTTTCTTCTGTTCCTCACTTCTCTTGGTCTCCTTGGTTACAGCCTTGAAGACAGCTCCTTATCAGCTACTTCTTTGCTTCTTGCTCCTTCAGCTAACAGGCCCACTGTTAGCTCCTTCCACAGATAGGCAGGCAGTTTCAGCAGGGGCAATAAGGACCACAAAAGCAGATCTAATGCCTTTTTTGTCTCCTTCATGTCAAATCTGCAGAGCAGTGAGTTTAGCACACAGAGAATGAGTTTCTACTCCTCTGCCACACACTGAAATTGGGAAGTCTGGCTATGGGTTTCTGACAATGTTCCCCAACATCTTTTTATGTCACTATCACCACAATTCACTGACAAATACAGGAGGGAGGGTGGAGAAGCCCCTCTCTTCCTTATCAAATCAACACACCTCGAGCACTGAATCTTTGGGATTAAAACATGCAGAATAGCTTGTTACCACCAAATCTGCCTGAACACCATCATTTCATCCACAGACCGTACATTTACTAATACTCTCTGCATCCGCCCATCCTTAAAAGAAACAAAGTGTCAGCTAGAGCATAGAATACTTCAAAGTTCGCAGTGAAGACTTTGAAGTTCTTCCCTGTAAAACGCTCTGTTAACTCACCGACGGATCCTCTGTGCAGGAGCCTTTCTGAAGCAAACTGAAGCAGTATTGTATCATCAGGGACTTTCTCCTCCCTCATCAAACCCTAAATGCAGATTGGGAATTTGTCTTGGCAGAAACAGTGCAGTCACTTTAGCTGACATTTTTCAGACAGGCAACTCATTGAGAGTCTACTCACTACTGGGTATTTAGAGAGGGGAAGGTGAAATTAAATCCCGCTGGCCATACAGCTCAGCCCCAGCAAAGCAGGGACTGCCTCATGTCTTGGTGACTTGTTAAAAAAATTCTGCCTAGCTGTCCTCAAACTACCACAGGAACTATCAGTCAGTTTTCACCCTGCAAACATGAAGTGTGAAAAACAAACTATCTGTGGAAAACTAAGCTCACACTACTGACTAGTAAGGTCAGTGAAACTGTCTTGAACTAACTAGACTTTGGGTTCAGTCCAGCACAGCAATTCCTACATCTATCCTTGCCCTCCTGGATCACATGGGATACTTTTCCTGTAGTGTGCCTAACACACCCCTTGGCTTTTGGAATTCCCTTCAAATTGATTGTATTTTTCAGGCTTTCCCCTTCATCTTTGTTCAGGATGCAAGTGAGAAAATCATTCTGGTTTTACTGGCATATATTTCCCATCTTGATTCCAGTTCAACTTGTTTCTTTGTACAGCAGTTCCATTTAACTTCATGGGGTGGGGGTGGTTGTGAAATCTCCCCAGCAAACACTCAGGAATTTTATAGAAAAAAAAAGGCTGGTGAGGTTACTGACTCCATTGTCTCCCCTAAGTGAAGTTCTGAGATTTTAAAAAAATGAGCACATACTTGGGAAGAGGAAGTTCATTTAGGTCTGGAGGTCTGTTTTTGTAATTTTTCTCAAGGAAGCAGCTACTAAGTTGCATTAAAAAAAATAAATCCTCATTTGGCTTCTGTGTCCTTTTTTGAAGCGTTTGACTGGAAGTGCCAAGTGTGGTGTTAACACATAGTGTGAGGAGCGAAAGGGAGGGAACACGTGCCAAGGTCACCTCCACAGCAGTAGCCATGGCAAGCTTCACAGCAGTGATATAAAACCTCCCTCTGATACAAGATACCATTCACAGCTACTTTTTAAGAGCTATAAAAATACAGAGCAGGGACATATTAATTAAAGTAGTTCAGAGAGAAGCTCCGCATGTCTGTCTTGGCAGCGGATGACTGAAGGGCACATAGCACGTAGGGGAGCAGGACATCCATACACAGAGTTAGCAAAAATATTTTAGTTTTTATCACCTCTGGGTCTGTCAGTGGGCAGCACAGATGGTTTGCAGCTGGGGAGCCAGTCAGTGTGCTGCTAAGAAAGCAATGTGACCTGCGTTGTGAAGCAGTGCATACTGTAAGGAAGCTTTTCTTCATGACTAGCACAAATCTCCTTTGCTGACATTTAAGTCCCTAACCTCCTGTCCTAGCTAGACTAGAAAGCACACCACAAAAATTCCCCTCCGCTTCAGCACAACATGTTTCTTATTTACCTCTTTGTCCCTCCATTGTTTCCCCTAAAAAAGACAAACTCAGTTCTTCAAGACTTTGCTCATTTCCACACTGATGTTCCCTGCAGAGCACTGAACTCACCTTCCAGAGTGATGAGTTTTCAGCAAAAGAGGCAGTGATGAGGGCAAGAACCCATTCAGGCTTCCCTCTGCTCCTTTCCCTTCCAGGTTAGGGCAAGGCAGGCCAAGAAACAATCAAGGTTAGTAGCTGAGTGCCAACCCACTAGCTATGGCTATTTCTCTTCCTTGTCCCCTACTACAGCCCACCATGAGAATAAGCTTTTGCTGTGAACTCACTGACTGGACACAGCTGGCAGTGAAACACATCCAGCAAAATGTTGGTGGCTAGCAGGAAGTCTTTCTGGTTTTAATTGGTGATTACTCCAATTGAGTGAAATACAGATAACCCACCTTTTTTAGCTCTTGTGTTTATCTACTTGTATTTACCTCACCTCCTGCCTTCTTTATCCAAAATTGGAGCAGGCCTTACACACTCCAATATTTCACTATACACTGGAAACCTTGAAAGCAGCAGAGCATAACTGGGGCATGGAGCCAATGTGGCCAGAACCTAGTGACATTAAGAGTCCCAATGCCCATCTGCAAGGCAGGGAAAAAAGGGGTATTTGGGTATTCTTGAGGATCTAACATTCACCATCACCTAAGGTGCACAGAAGATGCACTCAAAGGCAGTTTTCTCCCCCGTAAACACTTTGTCAAGAGACAGGCAGTCTAGTCTAATGTTTTCCAGAGCTCTGTAAGGATTTCTTAAGTTCCAGTTTTACTGCTTGGACCGGCTCTACTTCTAGTGTGGAGAAAATATCTGTAAAATGGAGCTGGTCTTTAAAACATCAGCACAGTGCTTTGAGACATGCAGCTGAACAACACTAGTCTTGCTACTCATATATCACAGGACAACCAGAGGGGGACAGGAGATAGCATAAAGCTTTTAAAACATATGGAAAACATTATCTAAATAGCAAAAATATGACATAAAACTATATACACATGCTTACAGCTCATATTTGAACTCTCCACAGCCCTTGCTAGATAAGTAGGGATAATGATTTTTTTATTCATAGCACACTGAAAAGGAGTCCCACTCATATTTTCACACGCCCCAGCAGTCAGACAGTCTCTCTGCTTTTATTTACAGCTAGAAGTCCTGGACAGAGTCATGGCACAGAGGAAAAAGGAAAAGCAACTGGCAGATCTCAGCTAATGCAAAGTACTGTCTGACATTTTTCAAAGAACAATCAATTGCAGAGGACTTGCTGTTAATCACTGTGAAACAGATACATTTCAGATCCCCACAGAGAATGATACAATGTGAAGCAGCTTCTTAGAGCAGCAGGGTTTTTTGTGAAGGGAGTTTGGACAGGCAGTTTTTCTTTTAAGCCTGCATTTCTGACAGCTACCTAGTACCCTTTTCACAGGCTTGTCACATTTGTACCGAGATATATAAATGCCTTCTCCTTTTTTCCTTCTTTTTTGCACAATCTTTCACTTTTTTTAAGTAAAGAAAGATAGAAGCTGTATTTCCTATCATCTATAGATGAAGCCAAAATTTTTCCTGCACAAGGAAATGGCTTCTTGTTATCTGAAGACAACATCTCTATTTTACAGTAAAAGCCTCCATCCTATTTTTTTTTTCTGTTCTCCTTACTCCCTCCTGTCTCAAAGCTGAACTTATCCAATAGCTTGCAAAGGAAAGTAATAAGAGAAAGATGGTTTTGCTTTGTTTCCTGGCGACCAACACCACTGAGACCCCAGGTAGCATCACATTGGCTAATTCAAGATAGAAGCAAGTTCCATTACAGTTAAGTGGCAAGAGAGGATGCAGCAGTAACCTTGGCACAGAAAATCCTTGCCAGAGCTGCCTGCTCTTCATGGTAGAATTCACAGTGATAGAGGAATATGTTTTGATTAAGAGAAATTATGTTCCATGTATGTTTATTTGGCTTTTGGGTTTTCTTTTCTCCCTCTATTAAGCTTAACCATGTTGGTTCACTTGCATTACCCTCTTTACCTGTAAAAGCCTTGAACAAAATCCCCTTGATGCTAATACAAGAGGGCTAATACAAGAGGGCTCACTGTGGCTCCTTTAATAAGTCCCAGGGAAAGCTGGATCTATCTTCTTTGCATTTAGCTCAAACTGCCTCTGTCTTTCTCCAGAACAATGTACCCCTCAGGGTGAGGAAAAGTCCTTATACCAACAGTATGGCACTAAGGAGAAGAAAGTTCTTTGTAATGGCCCCTACTCCCAAAGAACATCAAAGGGGATGGCAGCCTGTGGGAATGAAGATCTTACAGGTCTGGACAACTGTGGGGGCTCAAAAGGAGATCAAGGAGAGGTGATGAGAATTGACTTTCTGGTTCAGCCTAGAGGTGCCTCTAAACCCATACAGAACATTGCAGACAGGCAGGTGACTCCTTGTTACAGAGGCTCCCTTTGAATGTGAAAAGATCTAGTTCCTCCAAGACATTCAGGCATGGGGCCAAGGCAGTGAGGTGCTTCTCAAGGCAACCACATTGCCTTCATGGAAAAACTCCCACCAAAACCATGTTACAGACAGTGCAGAGATCTGATACTCCCTAAGGAGCCAGAGCAATAGAAATGCAACAGGAAGAGAGCTTCCCATGCCTGCCATTACTGAATACCAAAGAGAGAATGCAAGCCCACAGGGATATGTTGTCTTCTGTCCTGTCAGTCACAGATGTGACAGCTGGGACCTTTAGCAACTGTCAAAGGAGGAAAACCAAGGCACTCCAAATGCCAAGACCGTCAGCAGCATAATTAACATGTCATGTATGGTCTGCTCAAAAGAGCAACACCTACTGCACCTCCAACAGACAATGCTGCCCAGCTGGTAAATAATGTCTAAGTGACTGAAAAAATAAAGAAAAAACACAAACTGTAGAGTTTAGAAAGACAGAAATCAGTTTGTAGCCCACAGAGGAAGGGCTTCAAGGGCATTGCTTCTCCCACTCCTGAGGCATGTCTCCGGAAATTCGTACGCAGTCGTATTCTTACAGAAGAACATCTGTTTCACATGCGCAGAACATATGAAACGAAAAGGATGGAAGCAAGTTCTGCAGGGAATTCAAAAGCCAAGACAGGTTTGGGGATCTCAGCAGATGTGGTGTGCTCCCCACTAACCTGCAAGAACCAGTTTGAGGCAGGTGGCACCAAGCACCAGGTAAAAGGGAAAATTTCTCTCCCCCATCTCTGGCAGCATACTTTGGACAATCTTAACAATGTGAAGTGACAAGCAACAGAAAGAAAAACCCGATGTTGTGAAAGCCAGCCCATACAGAGAGCATTGCCAATTCTCCCCCTGCACAGATAAAATGGATGAGTGTGGTTAAGTGCAGGACTGTCCCAGTTAAGATAAAATACTTGGACAACCTAGATGAATGCTCAGGCTGAGGAAAATCTAAGATTTCATTTGAACAAATGTAGATCTGTAGCCATGACTGACCAAAATGACCAGGCCAAGGACAGCACCTGAATCCACTGTTCAAACATACCTGAGCAAGCTCATTATCCCATTGCTTAGAAGTACAGGATTGGTGCCAGCATGGGCTCTTCCACAGCTGATCTCTGACACACAAATCAGGGAAGGCACTGGAAAGGGAAACTCGGAGAGTGAGGTCCAGGTGTTACTGTAAGGAACAATGGACCTGTAAGGACTGGGTAAGACACAAGGAAAGAAGAGAAAAAGCAAGCATGCAAGAAAGGAACAAGAGAACTTCAAAAGTGGTAAGTCTGGTAAAAGAGTAAATTTTTATGGAATGTAACAATTAGCAACGGAGACATACAAAGAAGTTTTATCTATAGACTAGTAGAAAATTTAAAATCATAATAAAATAAAGCAAATCTATTTCTGCATAATAAATATATTGCTTCCCCTCTTCTTTCAGATTGAATTAAAATTATGCAGGTTAAGGATATCTTACAAACAACAAAGAATCTTAGTTTAGAAAATATTTGTGAAGGAAGTTCTCCTTGCTAGTTTCTATTTCTGAACAAGTGATTTAGAAAAAATCCTCTTCAATGATACCACTGGCTCCACAAAAATAGAGGATGTGCAGTCCAGTTCTTGTCTCCACATTACTTTCTTGTCTCACAAACAGAAAAGACCTGACCCTGTGATCAGCCAATCGGTTCCATTTAAGAGTTTGATCAGGAGTTCCTATATCAGAACAAAGGGAGAAAAAACAAAGCAGAACAAAGAGGTGAAATGGACACCTTGTACTCCTGATGACAGAAAAGGAGTTTCTGAGTCACGCAGAGAGCTCTCAACACCTCGATCAGATGGAGACAGGATATAGCACTATCTGAACACATGCTCAAAATGCTTTGGAGAGAAAAAGTTATATCCAAACTGCTGCTGTAGGCAGGAAGGTCATGCTGGGATTATAATCAGCTGTGTGAATGAGCACAGAGACATATCACATTTGGCTAAATGATTTTTTCGTTAAGACTTGCCAGTGGTACAGGGAAAAAAATTGCCCTTATAATGAAAATTATCTCATTTGCAGCTCTGTGATAAATAGTATTTATCATGAATCTTTGATTCCTCATGCTGCTATTGCAGCTCCTCTGGGATGGCATTAATGTACCATTTCTCTCCATGGCTCCTACTTATCTCAAACAGTCTCTGCTACAATCAGGGTTTTTACCCCTGGCCTGTGAAATTTCTTGAATTATCTGATAAGGGCCAGTTTCAGCCACAATCACAGCAGGTCCAGGATTCTGCCCAAATGCTATAAAAAAATGTGGGTCAACTGCACTATACACAGCAGTGTGAAGATAAGGGTTTTACTGAAACTTCTTTACAGAGTCGCATAAAAGTTGAGCATAGCTTCATCATTCAGTAGAAGCACACTCATCTCATGCAATCAAAATCATCAAAAGGGATTGTACAGAAAGGAGTGTGTATTTTTAAAAAGTTATCTTTAACTAAGGTCTAGCACCAGACAAAAAACGTGAATATTTAAGTAAGTTAGACAGCAGCACATCTTAAAAAACAACAATAATTAGCACACACTAGCTTATATTTTCAAAGCATTTTACAAAAACTTGAATTAATTAAGCCTCACAACATCCTTGTGAGATAGTTAAGTATTATTAGTCCCATTCTAGAGACAGAGAAACAGGTATGAAGAGAGTATAACCTGCTCACCACCACACATGTCAAATCCAGGTACAGAAGATCAGATTTTCCATTTTTTGCCATGTGTGGTCAGATCTCTTAAAAGCTTCTCAAATTTAAATTGTTTCCTCTCATCCCTTTTAAGACCTGTCCTTATTTCAGTCTGATTTGAAAAGGTACTCACCAAGTGCTATTCAAAGAATCACTGAATGGTTTGGGTTGGAAGGGCCTCTAAAGAACATGCAGTTCCAACATCCCTGCCATGGACTGGGACACCTTCCACTAGACCAGGCTGTTCATAGCTCCATCCAACCTGGCTTTGAACACTTGCAGAGATGAGGCATACACAGCTTCTCTGGCAAGCTGTTCCAGTGCCTCACCACCCTCACAGTAAAGAAGTTCTTCCCAATACCTAATTTAAACCTAGCTTCTTCCAGTTTAAAGCCATTAACCCTTGTTCTATCACTACACACTCTTGTAAAAAGTCATAAGAGAGGTGCTCCAGCCGTCTGATAATCTTTGTAGTCCTCCTCTAGACTTGCTCTATTATGTTGGGGGCCACAGAGCTGGACATAGTACTCTAGGTGGTCTCACAAGAGCAGAACAGAGGGGAAGAATCACCTCCCTTGACCTGCTGGTCGTGCCTCTTTTGATGCAGCCCATGATGCAGTTGGCTTTCTGGAAAAGTAATCAACGCATTCCAGGAACCTTCTGAATTGCTTATGCCCTGCTGTGCTGCCTCTCCAACAGGTATGAGCTGGCTGAAGTCCCCCATGAAGACAAGGCCTTGTGAACACAAGGTTGCTCGAATCTATAGAGGGCTTCATCCACTCAGTCTTCCTGGCTGGGTTACCTGTAGCAGATCCCCTCTGTCACCTGTCCCTGCCCTCCCTTTAATCCTGACCCATAAGCTCTTGATGGACTCCTCCTCCATCCCTAGGCTGAGCTCCATGCGCTCCAGATGGAGCTCCGTGCACTCCAACCAATCATTGACACAGAAGGTGACACCTCCTCCTTGCCTGCAGTGCCTGTTCTTCCCAAAGGGCCTGCATCCTTCCATTCCAACACTCCAGTCACAGGAGTTATGCCACTCCATATCTGTAACAGCTCTGCACGTGTGAGCACACTTGCGACAAACAAGCAGAATTAGGAAAAACATTTTTTATAAACTCTGTGTTAATGGAAGCTGTTTAACCACAGACTTGACATGGGTATTTCCATACTGCCAGTGTCACTTCTCATCAGGCACCTGCCACCAGGAAACTTGCTGAGGCCTATCTGCAATGCTGGGACAGCTCAGAATCTTCAAAAAAATAAGGTTTCTTTCCTTCTTCCATATAAGGAATCTCTCTCTGTGGCAAGGGGTCTTCTTTAGAAAGAACTCTTATGAATACAACTGCACTGAAAACAAAGAAAGATTTTTATCAAGACCCTCACTGAGACCTTCAAGATCATCATGTCCAACCCAGCCCTAACACCTCAACTACACCATGGCACTGAGTGCCACATCCATCTTTTTTTAAACATATCCAGGGATGGTGACTCCACCACCACCCCAGGCAAACTATTCCAATACTTTATCACCATTTCTGTAAAAAACTTTTTCCCTATATCCAACCTACATTTCCCTTGGCACAGCTTAGGACTGTGACCTCTTGTTCTGTTGGTTGCTGCCTGGAGAAAGAGACCAACCCCCACCAGACTACAACCACCTTTCAGGGAGTTGCAGAGAAGTTGTAAGGTCACCTCTGAGTCTCCTTTTCTCCAGGCTAAACACCCCCAGCTCCCTCAGTGGTTCCTCACAGGGCTTGTGTCCCCAGCCCCTCACCAGCCTCGTTGCCTCCTCTGGATGCGCTCCAGCGTCTCAAGGTCCTTCCCAAACTGAGGGGCCAGAATTGGACGCAGCACTCAAGGTGCAGCCTCACCAGTGCTGAGTACAGGGGAAGAATGACCTCCCTGCTACTGCTGGCCTAAAGGTAAAGCCAAGGGCACAAATTTATGTCAGAAAAATCTAAAAACTTTTATCTATTGTGCTTTTGTTGCCTTTCTCTGAACTCACTTTATTATAAGAGATGGTCTGGAGGCATCAGACATCCTGGGAGCAAGAAAACGATTCTTCATAGTCACTCTGAGAAGACCAGCTCCCTTATCATCAATCACTCTTGCCCTGAACTAGTAAGTGACAGACTAGGATTAAACTTTCAAACTACCTGAAAGTTCAAGTCAATGGATTTAATTCTATAAACTGCCAAATTAAACTTTAACTGGCAAATCTGGCAGATCTACTGCTGCCTTTTTGCAAACCCAGGCCCCAGGTGTTAGTGGAGACATAGAAATAAAAACAGTCTTTCCATCTTCAGTTACACATGTCCATCAGACACTGTCCAGGAGTCCAGGAAGTTAGTATCATGACAGCTTGATCTGAAGATCCTCCCCATATTTTTGGATCAACTTCACATGGTTATGGTCCACTGACCATTGCTCTGGGAGGTGTTTGGGCTTCATGCTGTCCAAGAAATGCTGCCTCCAGCGTCTTTCCAGCTGCATGAGAGAGCGCAGGCCTCCTTGAGCACAACACTGCACCACCTTCAGTCCATGTGGCACGTAGCTCTCATTGCAGATCCTGCCAGGACACAAGCACAATTTATTTTCACACAAGCCCACTGTCAGACTCCAGATCTGTCTCCAGTGAAGAGCAAGACACTGAAGATACTTTCAGCTGCAGAGTTTAATTACAGACAAAGGGTAAGCTAACCAAGAGGGAGAGTTTTAAGTTTTGCTTCAATGCCAGACTGTTTTCTGGAACACACTTACGCTGTAAAGCTGGTTTCTCTGAACGGAGAAAGCGTTCTTCTTTACAGCAACACTGAACAAAGCTCTTAAGGTCCATTACAAGCTCCTCGAGAGACTGCAAATTTCTCAAGGCAAGAATTATATGACCCTTCAGACTGCTGAGCCTGTCACTGAATTCCCTGCCTGGATGGGTTCTGTGTTACAACATCTGCACTTTGCAAACAACAGCGAGCATAAGAAGGAGAAGATACTCATTTCAAGCAGAGACGAGACACTTATTAAGAAAAGATATTTGGGGAGACTTTGAGAAAGTGAAGAAGAGAAGACTTCCAATATGACTATCCTTCAGACTCTTTTCCTGACCTGTACTTCAGAAGATGTATAAAAATGTTGGAGGGGAAGATGGACAGCAAGAACAGAAGACTTGTGAGAGGAAGAGAAAGAAGAAAAGAAACAAAAGCTGCAGTTCAGAGAGCAGTGGTGGGTTGAGGGGAGATGGGTATAAACAAAAACAAAACCAGTAAGAAATGCAATATAAACAACCAAAAACCTTACATCCAACCTACGTGGGCTTGCTATACCTGGTTTCCAGGCCAGCTGCTGCCTGGAGCATCTCTGGAGTGACTGTGTCTGTGTTATAGAAGTCCTTGATGCCTTGCAGCAGCTCTGCCCTGCGGGGGTCGGGCAGGCTGTCTGCATTCAGCAGGGCGCGCGCTCCCGAGCGCACTTGCCTGCGCAGAGGGTCCTCCAGGAGACGCACACCTTCCTCGGAGCCGATCGGAGCCCCAAACTCCTGGGCCAGCTGCTGCTTGAGGTGGTTGTCATAGTAATTGGAGATGGCATGGCAGGATGTGCAGAGTAGGAGCACATCATGTGAGTTGTGGTCCTTCATCTGGATGGGGAAGTGTCTTCTGTATTCATGAGGAACAACATTCTTCCTAGAGAAGACAAAACAGACAGCTCACTGCATTTGTCTGGAGCTGCTGCTCCCCACTTCCTCCTCTTCCTGCCCCAGAAAGGGTCAGCTAAAACTAAAAGTCCAGGTAAGCAAAGATTACCAGGACAACACGTAGTACAGAAAGTGATTATTTTTATTCTTTTCACTTGTAGTTCTCTTGCCAGATTTTCTGCATTTCTCTATTTTCCTTTACAAAAATTCACCACTTTCAATTAAAGATTCATACTGTAAAGAAAAAAAAATCAAGTAATGCGCTATGAGAAGTATACGTCTCAACTAATCAAAAAGAAAAAGAGAAAAATCTTGTTCTTTATGACCTCATGAGCTTTAGGCTCACCTAAACCTTTTAAAAATAAAGGATTAAGTAGTGGAAGGAATAGTACAGCTCTTTTTGGAAGGGTATGCCACCCACCCAGTGTGTGTCAGCACACTGCTGCCCCTGCCACTCAAACTGCAGCACATACATGTTCCATATGCTTTGGTCTCTCCTAGGATCAATATCTCCTGCCTCTGTAAGAGGAAAGGTTGGTCTCTTCAGTGCCTCACACAGCCAAACAACTGCAGAGCACTCAAACAGTGTCCTATCCAGGACATGAACAAGCACAATCTTTCAGGTCACTAACCAAGCTTCTGGATGCTAAACTTGATGCAGACCTCAGCCCTGTTTTAGAAGATGCATTTTTCTCCTACCCACTAAACAACTCACCGGATATAGGATTCTCGCTTGCCACATACAACACAGAGGTTTTCTTTGACTGTCAGATAATAATCAACTTGGGACTCAGGACGTCCTGAAGGCTCAAAACGCAGCTTCACAACAAAAGGGTCTGTGCTAACTAGCTCTAAAAGGATAAAGGCAAAGAGAAAATATTCCAGACAAATTGTATTGGAGAGCTAAAATAACAATGCTACAATGTAAGAGTCATCCTAGTGAATCCCCAACAGTACTTCCAATAAGAAAGGATACCAAAAAAATCATGCTCCGTTAGGAAGAGGAGAGAGAGGAGACAGAGAGGAGAGAGAGAGGAGACAGAGAGGAGAGAGGGGAGAGAGAGGGATACCAACAGGAAAACTGGTATGCCTACCTCCAATCCCCTTGTCCAAATACCACTGAGCCTTCTTGCGATCACAAGTGCACAGTGGCTGTCCATCTGGTGCATGCAGGAAGCAGTTGTCATACAGTGGAGATTTTCTATGAAACAAGGCCAGTATTACAGCAGCTACAATAGCATGCAAAAAAACCCAGAGCTTTCTATAGCCCTGTGTGCCACACTGCAGTCCAGGCAGCTTCCTCCGAATCACAGGAGTACCCCTAAACACAAACTTGGGGCTGCTGAGTCTCCACAGTCTGCTGCTTAGGGTAACAACGTATCTGAAAATTTATCCAGGGTTCACCAACTAACTCTAAGGTATCTTTGCTCTCCTGCTGTCAACAGAATTGTAACTCTTGAATCCCAGTTTTCAAGAGATGCCATCACTGAAGACAGCATTAAAAAAAAAAAGAAATAGAAAACAAAAGAGAATTGAAGTCACAAAGGATGATGAGCTAAGAGTAAGCTCAAAGACAGCATCAACTTACAGCAAGGTAGTTTCAAGAATTAGCTGCCTAAGCCTGGATTTTAATGATTTTTATGAAAACTTTTCTAAAATTTAGTGTGAATATCAATTACTTTATTCACCCAAGAGAAATGGTCCAAAACCACTCCTCCACTGGGAACTTAAACACATGAGTTCAGCACTGGGAACTTGAACAGATGAGTTCAGGAGAACAACAAAGCTGAGCTGACACCCTCAAACACAGGTCCCAACGTTTGGCAGTGACAAGAAGTCCTGTGTGAGCAGTCTCTGGCAGTTTTTGGCAGTGTGTGGAAGGGCTCTGTTTTGCAGAAAACATTTCTTTACTCTGCCAACCTCCTTCAAACAAAATTGAAGCGTGGAGCAGGCTGGGCTCAGAGAGGACGTGGGAGGAGCTGGCCACACATGGCACAATACACTGCAGGAAAGTTTCCTTTCCTCTCTGCAGTGAGATTGTACAAATTAGTTCTCAGCTAAAAAGGTTGATTCATAGGCTATCTCCTTCCACTGAGCATCCACAGTTCAACTCAGCCACCATGATAATTTCAGTACTTCCCAACTCTAAATGAATAAACATTAAAACTAAACAGACTTAAACAGAAAGGAAAAGTGAAAAAGAACTTTTGAAACCACACCCAGTGTTACCACAGACCAGAGCCACACTGCAGTAAATACTGTAAAAAGCAGTGAGTCTACGGATCTGTCATGAAGTCAAGCACAGTTAAAAACAAAAAATAAATAAACAAATATGGGGAGATCTTAATTTATCTTGGAATGTAATTTTGTTTCAATTTTAATACTCCCATGAGATGCAGTCCTCCTGTTTTGTATTACACAGCCTCCAAAAAAATTAAAAAGAAATATGAGGGACTTGCTCTGTAAAACATAATAGTGTTAATCACTGCTAATGAAATCAATACTATTCACTACACTAAAATTTCTCCATTGCCAATCCAATAAACCTAAAAAGAAGAAAACAAATATAAAAATTTATTTCTTTCCCAATTATATTTACATGTAATTTTAGTTATGTCCAATGACAAATTTTATTAGATTGTATCCTAACAAAAGCAAACATACAGATATCCCACACCTTCCATTGCACTGAGCCTAAAGCAACTTTTCAAACTTGTATTCCATTTAAAAACAACTGAACTCTTGCTAGCAAAAGCTCATAAGAATTTAGGATTCACTCAAAAAAATCGCCTGCAAGGATGGTAATCCTGAATCCAGCAATAGCTGCCTCTGCAAGGCTAAAGCAGCACTATTCTTTCCTCTCACCCCCTGGCCAACAAAGAAGGGCACTGCTTTGCTGCTACCACAGGCTGTTCCTTCCTGTGCCCTCTGGCACCTCACATAACATGTCTTACCCCTGCTAATCTCAGCTTTCAGCCCTGCCATCTCTGTGGCCGTGGTGACATGGGACAGCAAAGGAAAAACAACAGTCCATGAGGCAGATCCTGATGAAAGGACAAGCTCTGTGCAGTTGCCCCTTTTACTTGGAGAAGACAGGGCACAGCTGTTTGAGCAGCAGAATCATAGAACATGCCAAGTTGGAAGGGACCCTTCCAGGACCATTGAGTCCAACTCTTAGCCCTGCTCAGGACACCCTGGACAGCCAAGAATTACACCTGGAAAGCCAACTGCCTCCTGCTAGGACTCTGCTCTCTGGCTAATGCTTCCACAGGGGAAGGAAGGGTAAAACTTAAAAGACAACACCTCAACTTGCTCATGATCTAAGTAGAGATCTAAGTGCTGCCACTGCTTTCAATACTGCCTAGAGGAAAATGAGAAAACAGAAATAGGATCTGACCCCCATTACTGTTAGGTCCTGTGTTCCCTTTCTGAGCTCATGTGAGCTACTCTGTTTAATGACTAGAGCATGAGGCAACACTCAGGGCTTTCCACATGAAATGCAAAGAGTAAGATGTGCTCATATACTCACCTTGCAGAATATCCCACACCCAGAGGCTTTCGCTTCTGCCTCCGTGGATCTCTCATTTGCTGATTGCCAGAGGGCTGGCCATTCACCCAAGATTTCCGATTCTTTGTTTTCTGAGGGGAACGCCCCTCTCCACTCTTCTCCTCTCCTGTGCTGCCACTCTTTCTTCCTCTAAATGGGATATCCACCAAGCCCTGGCATTTACCCCGTGCTTTCTCCCAAGCAGTGACAGAGTTTTCACCTTCAGATGTAGCAGGGAGGCTGGTAAATCCCAGCAAATGGAAGAACAGAGCCACTGAGACCTGGGCATCCCTAGCAGCATAGAGAACCTGCAGAAAAGCACAGAAATTAAGATACTGACAAACAGCAAATACTCCCAACATTATCAGTCTTTAGCACATGGTACAGTAAAACCAGAAGCTGGATTCATTTCCTTTTGAAGTTCACATGAACTTTTGCCAGTTGAGTGGCACTTTGATAACAACACCACATTCCACTACCTTGGTGTAGTGCCCCCAGGAACTGCAAGGGACTGAAAATATATTTAGGTCAGACATCCTCATATTCCACCAATCCCTCCCTCATAAAAAGTTCCGTTTTGGCCACTGGCTAAGAGTATTCAGCATGGGGTTTTTTTGTCCTGTCACTCCCTCTGCTGGTCATTGCTTCTGCAGGCATGTGCAGTGTGACTAAAGAAACTCAGTGCTCTAAAGAAGATGAACAAGATTTCTAGTGTCTCTCTAATATTGCACTGACTACTACAGACTGAAGAAAATAATAAAAAGGAGAGGTTTTGGAAACACTTCTTCAAGGGATCTTGCCTCATAGATCTTTCAGGACTAAAACAAAACAAGGGTAAAGAATCCAAGGAGAATAGCAGAAAATCATCTTCAAGGAAAAGGAGGGACATTAAATTAACTTTAACTTTTAACTGAAATTAACTTTAGGTCCTGTCACACATAAGATTTTGAGGTATAATTTGAAAAGGCTCAGATCTCCCTATAGTAAAGCCTCTTTTGCAATGAAGAATGTTACTCTTCCTCCCAAAGCAGTAAGTTGAAGTGGAGAACACACCTGATCTTGTGTCAGTTCTTCTGCTTCCCAGTTGCTGCAACGCACATGAGGAGATTTGTCAAGCGGGAAGTTCAGGACTTTTTCAGCTAAAGACTTAAGGCTAAGGCAGTTGTGAAGTAGATCCTTCCTTCAATTCAACAAAGTGAAACAAATATATTAAAAATGAAACTATACACTCATGCAAATTCAGATGGCCTCATACAGCCTGAACCCGCGAGAACACAATGCACATGATGCATGACTCTAACAGCACGCAGCTGTTTGCCTGTCAGCTTTACAGGCCCTCTCCTCCCCTCTACTAAAATGTCCCTTCTAGATTTAGTAATTATCTCGTGTCTGCAATATGCAAAGCAGACGAGGCTGGGAGTTAGTAACATTTAAGGCTGAAGTGTTTGGCTCTGAACTACTCCCTTCTGAACTAAAGAGGTCCATCATACAGTGATGGACTACTTGTCCGAGGGATTCATGAGAAGCCCAAGAACCAGGAATGACTCAGAACAATCCTGGCCACTAGAGACAAGAAGTCCATCCTCAGTGCTAAAAAGGCACCAATAGGTCAGCAAATGCACAGCCCAGATCCCTAACACCGCACCCAGGCACACATAAAATTGTACATGAGAATATTTGCAAGTAAAACATCTTGTTTCAGGAAGAGTGAAAGATAAGAAAATGGCATCACAAGTGTAACCTTTCCATAGAAGAATTGTTATTAAAAGAGAAAATTGGAACTGGTTTATTTAGCAATTTTTCAAGAAATCTTGAAATGCAACAGTTCCACTTGCATGTCCTGTGCACACTTAACTCACACTTCTTGGCAGTGTATTCAAACATCTGCTGACACAGTGTTCATTCTTACTGCATTACATCACTGTGCCTGGACTTCTTAAAAGCTGAAGCATGGTACACAGAGAAGTCCACAAAGGTATCAGTCTGTGAGAGAAGACTAACGGACACAATTAGCAAACGAAATCCTCATTAAGATTTCATTTCCATTAAGATCACAGAATAGAAGCATGACATGCTCCTGGGCTGCAGCTATCAATGCCCATTTTCTAAAGCCACCCTAAGAATTCCAGACATACCAGAGTGATAGCATTCAGCTTATGCAAATCACCTAAGATATATTTCCAACTCAAATGATGCCTCAAAAGGACCTACCGCTGTCTCATGGCTAAATACCGAAGATCCATGCTCCCTTTGACTGGAAGACCATAATCATGAAGCAATTTGCAAGCATCTTCCCAGCATCCTACACCAACTTTGAACACAGCACTATCTGCCATGATGTCCACCAGGGTCTTTGGAAGAGTCTGGCCACTGGCAACAAGCCTGGGCAACCGAACAAGAATGCAGAGGCCACTGGAAGAAGCCATCTGTAACAGGGACACAGGATTTGCTTTTCCCTCCATAGATACCTGTAATGAAGTAAAAAATGAGAGTCCAGGTTACTGTATTATTAGTAATACTGGACCTGAAGCAAATTGCAAAAAAGGCCACTGAAAGCAAGAAATACTTATCAGTTTACATGGTCAAGTATTGTTACAAGTCTCTAAAAATTCACGGCAAATTACGTGGTCTTTTTCACAGTATTACTGTGCCCAAGCGACTTCTTGCCCCATTCCCACATGACAATCTTTCCCCCTTTCACCCTTCCCCTTCATAGCTGAGCTGGTGGAAGAAATCAGAACATTTTTGAATCCACATCAACACAAAGCCAGCCACTATATAAATGGGTATGGCAAATATATTGTTTAGCTGTGGCTTATACTGTGGGGTGAATAAATTTCCAGTCAAAACAATGGCAAAGCCAGGCTTTATAAATTACTTTAACCCTGTTTGAGATATCACGCATGCAAATGTACAAGCAGAAGAGGAACACTTTGTTTTCTCATTGTCCCAGTGAATTTTATCTATGTATTAGCATTATCCTCCTTTTTGGACTTAACATTCTTAAGATATTGTTTCTTAAATGTAGCTGGATTTAAAATAGTGTAAGCCCAAGCTACTTCTAGTAAATCACCTTTAAAGAGATATTACACGAAACACATAGTGCTATATTTAGCCATACAACTGTTGCTATATTTAGTAAAGTCGATTTATCACAGAAACTCAGTAAACAAATACATCTAGTGAATTAAAAACCTAGCATATTTAAACGAAAGAGGAATCAAAATTAGCATCTGCTTCACTGCCATCATGACAGACAATCACAGTTTCAATAGTCAACCCCTGGTATCTGTTTAAGCAACAAATTGCTCCACCCTCAATTATTTCCCCATGCAATTTGCAATCTAAAGGAAGGAGAGGCGCTTCTTGATCACTCACCCACTCACAATCAATTCCAAGAACCGGCCACTTCTCCAGCTCCTTCTTCAGCAATGGTTCAACATGATCCCACTCCTCCTGCTCTGAAACTATCACTATGTTTGCACCAAGGGTCCTCTCTATCCAGAAGAAGGTGGGAGATCCGAAGAAGGAAAGCACCTTCTTATCCTCTGCCTTAATGAGTTTCTCATCTCCTGACTTTACTGCTGCTTCCTCTTGCTGACTACGACAGCGTGTTTTTCCTTTCCGATGCTGGGTCGCTTTCCACAAAACCAGGCCCCCCAATGCAACACCCAGCAGGGTCGCCAAAGTAATCGTCACAGCTGTTTGCTTGGCCATTTTTTATTGCCCTTTCTCCCCCTTCACCTCATCCTCTCAAAACGGCACTGTGGGATTTCATCATGGCCTGTGGAGAAAAATAAGAGGAAGAAATTAAAGACAACTTAATAAAATGTGTTTAGAGATATTAAATACATGCAATGCTATCATAACAAGGTTCTAGCCATAACTTGTAATCCTGACAGAAAAAAGGTCCGGGTCCCACTTTGACAGACTGGGGGCCTGGGTACAGACAGCTGCAGTGATGGATTGGGCAGGAAGAGCAGACTGAATGCTGCTGTTGATCACACCACTGAAAACCTTAAAGGGAAGCCATCCAGTTAAACTGGTGCAACTCGGTGCTTCCACAAACTCTGCGATTCCAAAAAGAAACTAGTCACAGTTATTATCAACACCTTTTAGTTCAGTTTGTAACTAGATCAACCTAAACAAGGCCAAAATGAAAATGCTGCAGAATAAGCATGTCTGTTCACGCATTAGTAAACAACAGGCATTTATTTGTCCATTACATTCACATCCATACTAGGGTCAAATGGCCCTTCAGGCACTGGAAAGTCCTAGAACAGCAGCATCTTATTTTTAACATAGCTGTCCCTCTCTCATACAGAAGCTGAGTACCCCTTCAATAAACTGAAATCAATCCTGCTCCTCCATCCCAACCCACCGCGTTGTTTCTAAAGGGCTGTCCTTGCGCACACTTCCCCACAAGGAGAAGTTCGTGTGTCGATGTTACTCCAGCATGGATGCTGCACAGCCGCTCCCAACACCCCGAGCACAGCCGGGGCACCTGCCTGAGCACCCCCGAAGCAACAGGTCCTTCGCTGCCACCCTGTAAACTGAGCGCGAACGAGCCCGCCCGCAGCGACGGCCTCTCCCTCGGTCCAACAGCCACCACCGCTCTGGGAACCGGGCGTGCCTGTGATCCCTGTGCGGATCCCCCGCCGGGGCAGCAGAAGCCCCGGTAAGACACGCCGGCCCGGCTCAGCCCCGGCGGCAGCGGCGCGCCAAGGCCCGGGGGCGGGCCCGGGATGGATCCCAGCCGAGCGCTCCTCCGGGACGCTGCCAGGACCGCCGGGATGGGGGCTGGCGGGGGCGTCCGCGGCTCCGCTGGGCAGCAGGGGCAACGCGCTGCCCGCTTTCGGTTCGGTCGCGATTGTCTACCCTGGGAAGAGGCCCGAACGCCGGGAGCGAGCATGCGGGAGGCCGCGGGAGCACCGGCCCGCGCACCGGCCCGCCTGCAGCCGCAGCCGCGGCCTCTCCGGGATGCGCGCAGCAGCCTCTCCCCCGCGCCCGGCCCCGCCGCCCGCCCGCGGCCCCGCCGGGCGCCCACCGATCCGCCCGCTGCCTGCGTCCCGGGGAACGGCTGCGTCCGGCTGCAGGAACGCCCCGCGGGGCAGTCGCCACACACACCGGGAGCCTTAGAGTGGCGGACGCTTCCTCTGTGCCGGCGGTGCGAGTGGGCGATGGGCGCCGCCATGTTGTACGGCAGCTAGTGGCGGGGCGGCTGTGTCGCTGGGCGAGCTCCAACGTGCCTTCAGCCGGGGCAAAATGCTGTCAAGAATACTGATGAGCTAGCTCTTTTTAAAGGAGATTTTTGGAGTGAAAAGTGCGGTTTGTTGTCTGCGACTAGGGAGGGCTTGAGGAGCGAGCCGCAGCGGGCGTGAAGTCACCCACACGCGGAGCACCGGGGAGCCCCTAGGGCAGGAGAGACCAGACAGAACGGGAAGTAAAGAACAAAGGCAGCCGGGAAAATAAACAGCAAATCGCAGCCACCTACAAAGTGGCAAACTGGAAGAAAACAGAGGGAACTCATCAAGTGGAGAGTGTTAAGAAATTAACAGAGGAACACGTCAATCATAACAAGAGATTGTTCCCCTGTGTGTGGGGAGAAATACGAATGTTAGAAGAGTGACACCACAAAACCTGGACAGTGAGTATGCAGGCAGCTGCTGTACCCAGAGCATCATCAAGGTGTGAGGTCATCAGTGTTAAAAATCAAACGAATTTCCAGCCCAAACTCTATTGCAAATGAGAGGATCTGAGCACCCAATTTCTTCAAATTCCTTTGCAATTCCCAGTATCTCCAAGATTTTGTGCTGTTAGCTCTCCACCTAGCTGCATCTATTTGAAGTAGAGACTGAACCCCCAGAAAATACTGTGTTAAATCTATTTAACAATTTGACAGCATCTAATTTTGTTTTGTTTTATCTTTGCCACTTGTAGTCATCAGGGTAGGAGGATCTCCCTAGCAGAGATGTGGTATTTAGCAGACACATTGTCCAAAGAGTCTAACAAAGAGGCTAATGGATGGCACTGGCAAAAATCTTCCATAGAAGCAGTATTTTTTTCGGTCTGTAACTCATCTTTATTTTCCCCCTTCTTTTTTTCTTAACTCATGAATGAGGTACAGACATCTTGATAGCTCACAAGGAAAACAGGTGATTTCTAGAACACTTTTTTTGAGCAAATAAGGCCCTCTCCTTATCAGAAATAAGATTACAAGGTTATTAATGGTTAAGCAGCTAGTTGTTCTAATGACCTGATCTATGCCAGCATGGTGAGGCCATATCAGGGGTCACCGGTGCTAGGGTAGGATCAGAGTTGTTTTCCATTGACTTGCATATGTATTTTGAATGTACAAATGCTTTATACCTTATAGCTACAGCTTCTATATCATAAGTGTTTCTGCAAAGCCTCTCAGTCTTGCTGTACAGTGACGAGACTTTTATCCATTTTTATATTAATTCACTGAGTTACGAAGCATTGCAATCTCACTGCAGTAACTCACACCTTGTCTCTGCTTCCTTCTCCTCTAGAGGCAAGGTCTGCATCTTCATTTCAGTCACAGCCTGGCCCCAGCTTCTCCATCCATCCCCTGTGCTCCGAGGCACCAGACACAGCTGACCAGCTGAATTGCAGGTCTCCAAGCAGGAGCTAGCACTGCTCTGAAGTTTCTCACATGACTTGTGCTCAGAGGAAAGGTGCATCATGTGCATGCTCAGGGGAGAAACCTGGAGGGTTTCTGAGTTCCCACAGTCAGATGGACATGTTCTGCCTGTTTCTTTCCCTCTCTCTTCCCTTCACACATATGCCTCAAGGTATAGTGCTTTGTTTTGTATGGTCATTGGAATCTAGCATAAATCTGGGTTGCCACTTGGTTGGATAGTCCCACGTTTCCTGTTGTAGCTGTGACTGACTGCTCATTCCCTGCTTCCTTGCTCCAGCACCCACATATCTGTAATGACAGGGTCAGAAAACCATGGAACTGATCATGTAAACTAGTTCAAGGACAAAAGGTAACACCTGGGGACACAACAGACATTTCAAGGCCCAAGTGGTTGGAAAAAGAACCAAGAAGATGATGCAGCTGGGCTCCAGGATCCAGCTGCCCTACTGTAAGGTAGGCAAGGCATCGTTAAGAGAACTCTGTCAGAGCTCAAGATAACCACAAAATACTGAACAAATCTGCAAATGAATTGTTTATTTTAGTTTCTAAAGTAATAGAAGTGTAAAGTTACCATAGAGAAAAATGCAATAAAATACCCCAATATTTACTTCACAGTGAAAATCTCACAGAGAAGATGCTAGCTTTTTACCAAGTAAGAGGATTTTATCCCTGCTTGCATTTAAAACCTTTATTTTTCATGGCATCACTGAAATTACAGAGTCCTGTAAGCCACAAGTCTCTTTAACAGCTTGTCTTATACCTACCTAGCCATTTATTCAAGTATAAGGATTAAATTAAAAATAAATGAAAGCAACTTATGCATGAATGCATTCTGGCAAAAAACAACAACAACAAAAAACAACAAAAAACAACAACAAAAAACAACAACAAAAAACAACAACAAAAAACAACAACAAAAAACAACAACAAAAAACAACAACAAAAAACAACAAACACTCCAAAAAACAAAACAAAATGAAAAAGCCAAACCAAAACCAAACAAACCACAAGTTCCCAAAACCTGATAGGGACATTGCTGAAGATGAGAAGATAACCAAGTGAGTAAACACCAACTGCTGGCTTAGCCTTACTTATAAGAAACCTGTTAGAGCAGGTAACTGGAAGCATGGTAAATAGCAACATTTACCTTTCTGTGTCTGTAGCCTGACATGAGATCTCTGCAGAGGTCTCTGTCAAAAGACTAATTTTTAGCCTGATTTCCCAAGGAAAGAAGGCTTATGAAATTACTCTATGTTGGTGTTTCTGCCTCTGGGTCCCATTACTTCCCCTGCTTTCCTTGCCAAAAAAGCATGTTTAAACCATTGCTAAATTCCATCTAGATTTGTACAAAGGTAACAAGTGAAATGCAAAGCCAAATGGACGAAACAGGTCCTGATAAAGCTGTCACTGATAAAATGGTAAGCATGTGCAGACACTGCTTAGTATACATATGAGAATCCACACAGCAGTACCACATCAGGACAAATCCATAGGAAACCAGGCTTCACTTGTTCTGCTGATCACAGAAAAAAGAATTATTTTTATAATGACATTAGCTCATCCTTTAGGAGGGAGAAGACTAGGGTAAATGAGTCAGTGTTCAAAGGAAAATCAATGATTGTGGAATATCAAAGGAGAGAGGCTCCAGTGAAGACTTAAATTGCTGGTAGCAGACAATGAGCAGAGAGCTGCATGTAGTCCCCACTAGCTCATTAATAACACTCTCTTTGGGGCCCCATCCCAAGCTACAGAAAAAAGCAAAAGTCACATTTCAAGTCCTAATGTGATTTATCTTCCTTCTGTCGGTGCTGGTAACACCGTGACTACATATGCAAACAAGCCATTTTGAGCAGGGTTTGTTTCAACAGGGTTGATACCAGGAAGGCAGTAGAGTTTCTTTCCTCAAGAAGTCAGAATGAGAGCAGTTTCAATCAACTGAAGCCCCATCCTAAAGATGGAGTCTCACACTGCAACAAGGTGGATGGAAGGTTTAGCTTCTGTTGAAAAGGCAATTTTGCTTCCTCCTTCTCCCTGTCTGCATTCTTCTTCAGTCTCAATTCTGAAAATACTGGTGCCTGCTTGATTCAAGGAATTAAGTGAGCAGAAAGCTAGCACAGCAAAAAACTGGGTTTTCTTCTGGTTTAACTCCTGGTACTAACTCATCATACAGCCAGATCTCAGTGAAACTGCATCTTAAGCCAAAAGATGAGTCAGTGGTAGCTCAGTGAAGGGATCTGACAGAGTTTGCAGGTTTTGCAAAGAATCTGAAAAAAACTCAGAGGTGTAAAATGCCAGATAATCCCATGAGGATGAGTTGTATTAACATCAATCATCATCAATGTATTTCTTCCTTAATTGCCAACTCTTTTCATTGCTTATATAGAAATAGAGATGAATTTCACAATTCCATTTCTTGGAGAGCTGCTTAGCTTACCCCGGTAGTTCAGTCCAGAAGGCACTCTGAGTCAGCCTCACTGTTTATGGCTGCTAAGAATATGGCATCCCCCATCTCCAAAACTCATCTCCCAGCTGGGCACTCCAGACTAGCTTGTGCTGATTTTGGCATTCCTTGGGACATTTCCATGAGCCAATAAACACATGGCAGACAAGCAGGTCCAGTAAGTAGCAGCATCAGCACAAAGAAAGGGACAGAACACAGAGCCACCTTTCAGTGGCCACAAATCATTAGATTGGCTTATCTGCATGTTAAACCTACATAGCAGAACAGCAAGCCCCAAGGGGAGACATTTGAGAAAAAAAATCCTTGGTTTTCCTACCTTTCTGGTCCATTAAAGTAAGCAAAAGAAGAAAAGCCCAGCAGCCACCAAATTTTCACTAGAGGGAATAAATTACACAAGCAAAATTATTTTTTAAAAAATGATATGGCCAAAATATTATGTAGTCTTCTTGGTTTCCCCTTTCTTTCTATTGCCCCTCAAAAATAAAAAATATTGGTATAAATAAACAAATTAATAAAAGCCTTGACTCAGCTCCACTTTCCTAATTACACATTCACTCTCTCTGACTCACTCCATAGACATCCAACTACCAGTGTCCAAACTTCTCAGTTTCCACTCTGGATTAACCAAAGCCAATCAAAGGTTCAACATTACCTCAAAAAGAGTGTTTAAATGTCATCCTTTCTCGCCTGACACAATCAATCATGCTTCACTTAAATACTTTTTACCTATTTAAGACTTCCTAGTGTTTGACAGACTCTCAGAGAACTGTATCCTTGGTCTTCTGTTACCCTCCTACATTATCTCTGAATTAGCACTCGGGAAAGGAGCAGATCCATAAATCATCTGCAGAGAGATATTAATTTATTTGTATTTCAGATGAGATACCTCCCCCTGTCCAAACTCAAAACAGAGTCTTCTCTCTTCTGTGAATGACTAGCAGGAAATTAGAGCTCAGCAGAGCTAGAACTCTTCCCTGAAAGCCCTCTTATTATCTTCTTTGTGAGTATCTGTGGATAGCATCACCAGTTTATCTGCCACTCAAGCTTGTTTGTCAACCGTCAGGTCTGACTGAAATGTCTTTGTAGATTCTAGCACCTAGGGTATACACTTCCATGTGGCAGCTCCAAAACTGCCCTCCAAAACATCCTTGCAGCTAAGACCCTTGTTCTCTTGCTGATATATAAAGACTGCCCTAATACCTCTCTCCAGTATTAATCAACACAGCTCCTAACACAACAGCCATTGACCAATGGAAATGCCAAAGTCTGACAACCGAGCAAAGCTGACTGTAGGCCTCCTATTAATGATCACATTAATGACCACAGCCATCAAATGGATACAACTAATGCAATTTAACTGATTCTCCCAATTCAAATTTGTTCACAAAAATGTTGAAGGGATAACTTTGTACCAGTAGACAGTAAACCCCAATCAGTTATTGTCAGTCCTTCCAGAGGCAGAACAAAAAATCCGTAGCATGGACAGAAGCTAATATGAGAGTAATGTGACACCATGGCCATATCTCATCCAGATCAATTTAGTACTGCTGAGAGACTGAGCTCTGCACAACCTTGGAATTAAGAACTCTGAAACTGCAACCCAAGGTTGTTTACATAGATCATTACTCTAACCACATTGCTTCTCTATTTTAAGGATTCTCCTAGTTCCCTCTTCTGTATTGCATCAAACATTATTTACTTACCTTCATTTCCAAGGGCATCTACAACAAGTCACCCCCCTGTTCATTATCTCCCATTTCCTTTCCACTTAACTCCTCCACTCTGTTGCCTACTTGTTGAAATTCCAGCTAAAACATTTGTTGTGCTTGATTTCATGCTGCTTTTGAGACATGGAGGAGACTGTGAACCTGCTACAGAATTAGGCAGCTCAAGCAGTGTGTGCAGACAGACTCTGGCTGCCTGTGCCCTTTGAGTCTGGCCAGGCTCGATCCAATCTGGTCTGTGACAACCAGTCTCGGTACAGCACCCCCAGAACAGCAACCTGATGAAGTTTGATCTGTTTGACTAACTACTGCCAGTACATCGATTCCATTGCAAGCTGCAGAATGTTCCCATTAAAGGAGACAAAGATGCTTCACTGATGCTACTTCAGTATGACTCAGGACAAGAGTGCATGTGCTTTGGAGAGGTAACAGCACTCTGGCTTTATTAACATAGACACTGGTCATTTTCCAGGAAGATATTACCTGTACAGGCTATGGTAACTTCCTTAGGTGTTATACTCAAAATTAGTTGGAAGAAAGGAATCAAGAGAGTGAAAAGAATGCTTACCAGTACTGTTTTTTAACCTATATGGTCATGTCATTGAACAGAACAGATTGACAGTCTGCTATTATTTTTCTTTTAAATTCTGACTGCTTAGAAATGTGATTTTAAAAACACCACAAAAACAAGCAGAAAAACCCCAACAAAACAAAAACAAACTCAGTTAAATATTTCTGAAAAATCCTGGAACTGGGGGATTAGGAAATAGTTTTATTTCTATGCAAAACCATTTAAGTACACAGCTTTCCTAGAGACTGGATCCAGAATGTGAAGAAAAAACACTGGAGATTTATTATATTGCATAATTATTTCAGTACAGAAACAAAAGGTACTCAAAGGTATTCAACCTTTGGAAAGGGGAAAAAGTGAAATCTTGCTGAGTGAGCAACAGTTTCTGATATAATTGTAATGGTGCAGAATGTCATGGCATGCAAACAACAAAGATATAAAATATGATTTTATAGCAATGTCTGAAGCTTACCTGTGTCTGAAGCTAAGATAATAAACACAAACCATGATGGACAGAGTCATTGCCTCTCTATATTGGGGGTAACTAGATATGTTACATTGCAGTAGTTGGCCATCAACAACTCTAACTAGAAAACATCCTTATGTACAGTTCAGATGAGAAGAGATTAATTGCTTTGTTTTCACTTCAGTTGTGAAGCATTGTTAATTGCAAATGTTAACGATGTTAATGTAACTTTTTACATTCTTTTTTTATTCCCAATTAGAAGAGAAAGTTTTTATTTACTTTTGTTATATGTTAAAATTAAGGCTATAGTGTTGTCAAATAAAAAGCTTGGTCTATGCAGGATTTGGTGCTCTTCCTATAATCTTAACCAAGAAGAAACCCAAAGTACTTAACTGACTTCTTATAATTAAATAATTTCTATTTCTATGGAAAACTGCCACCGGAATACTCAGTCATCTGGCCACAGCACAGTTTGTGTCAGGAAGGGTTTTCCTCCCCAGCTTATTTTAAAGTTTCAAGCCTCCTAATTCCCAGCAGATGCCGTGCTACACAAAGATGGCCAGGATGGTCAGGCTAATTCCTCTCACCTTCTGAAAACTGTATCTTCCCTAGGTACTGGTGCCATGAGGAAATACAGACCTGAAAGTTTCAAGCTGCTCATTTTGTGCACAGGCAGCATGCAGTCAGCTGCAAGGTGGGACTGGGGGTCTCTGCAGCACCTCAGGGACATCACCCTTTGAATGGCACTCCTGTTGCCTGATGAGAAAGAGAAAAGATATTCATATTCCAGTAAGGTAAAGGTTGGGGTATTGTTAAACAGTGAAAGACAACACAGGTCACTTCCACCTGGTTATCCAGCAATGTTTTGGAGTTTAGTTGACACTGCAGGGTAAGAGAAGAAAATTCATTTGTACTTTGAGCAGTCTTCCAAGGGCTGTAGAAAGGGGTCTAGTGGCTCACTTGTGATGGAGCAACCCTCCTGTTTTCAGTGTTACTCGGGAAGGAGCAGGAGAGAGGAAGCTATGAAACCCATAAAAACTATCATAGAGAAAACAACCACAACAATAACAAAAAAAAAAACCCAAAAAACAAACAAACCCAAACTAAATTCTAAAGCCATAATGCTTTGAATTCCCGTAGAAATCACTCAGCATTTACAGAGGACAAGCCCCACTGCAAAACGCCCTCGCACTTGGGCTGTTTTTCCCCTCATCTTCCCTCCGGTGCGTCGCCCGTTGCCTCAAGGCGGGCCGGCCGCGGCTCCGGAGCGCTCCCTTCCCACTCACCGCTCCGCGGGAGCACCTGCCCGCCCGCCGCCGCCTCCCCGCCGGCCGCGGGGCTGCAGGCGGCACAGGCCACTCAGCCGGGCCGGCTGAGCGGTGGCGGGACGCGTCCTCCCGCGGCTCCTCCGAGTCACGGGCGTACCCGTTCCCCGGCAGGTCCTCCGAGTGGCGACCGTATCCTTCCCCCAAAAGGTCCCCGGAGCGGCGAGCGTGTCCGGCCCCCTGCAAGTTCCCGCAGCGGCGAATGTGTCCTTGCCCCAGGAAGTCTTTGGAGTGGCGAACGCGTCCGTCGGTCCCCGGAGTGGCGAACGTTACCGTCCCCGCAGGGGCGAGTGTGCCTGTCCCCCCGCGCCGCTCCAGCAGCGAGTTAACCGTCGGCGGCGCCACGCTAGAGCCGGGCCGGGAGGCGCGGGCTGCAGCTGAGGATCAGCTGCTGAGGGAAGCGGGGAGGAGCCAGCGGGATCAGGAAGCGGCGGAGTGTCTAACACCTCTCTGCCATGGCTGGCTAAAGAAAAATCATCATAACCATAACAAGGGGGGAAGCGGGGGAGGGGAGGCGGCGGCGGGGGAAGGAGCGGCGGGGAGCGGCGCAGGCGGCAGCATGAGGAGGAGAGGCAGCCGGGGGGGCAGCATGCGGTCGGTGGTGGGGTTCCTGTCCCAGCGGGGCTTGGAGGGGGACCCCCTGCTCACCCAAGACTTCCAACGAAGACGCCTGCGGGGCTGCAGGAACCTCTACAAGAAGGACCTCCTGGGCCACTTCGGCTGTGTCAATGCCATTGAATTCTCCAACAATGGAGGCCAGTGGCTGGTCTCAGGTAAAGCGAACGCTCCCGTCCCTCGCCCCCTCCCGCCACCCCCTCCCCAGGAAGCATCTGCCTCCCCGGCCGCCTCCCCTGCGGCCCGGGGGAGGGAAGCCGCGGCAGCGCTGCTCAGAGCCGTTTGCCAAACCCACCGGTGCCCGGGAATGATGTTTTTTCAAGTAGGGATCTAAAATGGTTGACAGGTTTTAAATTCTACTATTATAGGGGGGGGAGCCTTGGTCAAAGTTTTTACGAGAGTGTTTCCCGGGCGCTGGGGGTGGGAGCTAGGGGTGCCCTTTTATTTGATGGCTCGCGTGTCTTTCCTCTTAAAAGAGGATTTTCTTATTTTGGGGGGACGACGACGGGGGAGAAGAAGCATCCCTCCGGCGCTCATTGTGGGCACCGGGTGACATTTGTCAGCGCCGTGCCCCGGGCCGGGGGTCAGCAATCGCTGCCGGGGGCGGGCGGCGGCCCCGAGTTTGGCCGGGGGGGCTGCACTACCGCTCGGCATCGGGCGGGAACCGGATCGGTTTAATCGAGGGACTGGTCACTTTGGGGCCACCCGCACCCCATCTTCTTTTGGGGGAGGGGAGTCGGGTTTTGTTTTGTTCCTCCTCCCTCCCCTTGCAGGGCGCGTTTGTGAAAGAGGGGGATATATTTGTGGTGACGGTTTTTGGCTTAAGGTCCCCTCTGTTGCCTGCCCGGGGCTGAGGGAGCCATAGGGGTGGGGGATGCTGTCAGGTGGGAGGGAGGCGAGGGCTTGACATCAGCTGCGAGACCGAGAACGGGGAAAGGTTCTGCACCCCCAGCCAGGGAGGGGCTGCGGGGCTCGGCGGCCGGCTGACCGCCTCCCCCCACCCCAGCAGCGCTTGGCGCAGGTGCCTCTTCCTGCTTCCCCGCCTCCGGGCTCCGAGGGGTGGCAGGGGAAGGAGGCAACTTGAGGCCGGGGCCTGGCCGGGCGCTGCAGGCCGCGGTCTCCTCGGGCGGCTCTTAGCGACAGGCCGGGGAATCGCGGGCCGATCCCGCCCGCGGCGCCCCGGGGGCTCGGGCGCTGAGGGGTCGCGGCGCTCTTCTCCCGCCAAGCCCTGGGACCCCGCGCTCCTCTGCGAGGGGGCAGAGACCTTGGAGCGGCGAGGAGGGAGCTGCCGGCCCCGGAGGGACCGCTCGCATCGCGCCGCCCCGGGCCGGGCAGGGCCGCCGAGCGCGGTGTCCATTGCAGGCCGCGGTCGGGGGGCGTTGTGTCCCGGCCGCCCCTCGCCCCCGGAGAAAGCGGCTGGAGGGAGCGGTCCCCCCTTCCCGCGGCTGGGGCTGCCGACAGGGCCCTCCCCTGCAGCGGGAAAAGCCCGTTCCCTCTCGTGTGGGGCAGCTGCCCTCGGGGGAATCGCAGAGGTCCTTGGCAGCTTTGTGGAGAGTGGTCTCGCTTGCCGGGGGGTTGCTGACCTGGTTATTAACCGAGGGCCTCGATTTTGCCTGTCCACCTCGTAAGCAGCGACAGGGGCTACCGAGGAATGTGATGGGGGCATGGCTGAGCAATGTACTGCCTTGCCGTGATGTCTGGGCAGAGGTGAACTGTATCACACAATGGTATCAGTAATAACTTCAAAGAGAATTCAATAAAAAGTTTTTGTGACTGGTTACTTTTAAACAAGGGCAGAATAGAAACCCTGTATAAACATGGAGTGGAAGCCGATACACTGAAACCTTCCTAAATTTAACATTCTTACCTGAAGAAACTTCAAGCATATTTCCAGTGATTTCTGAAGTGTCAATGAAGGATCTCAGTGTTGCTGTTAGGGATTCTTGTATCTTTGTGCACGTGCAGCTTCTGAGGTATGCGTCCATTTAGCTTGTGAAGATACGTGTGTACCTACATACATACACACATATGTATATAAACATGAGTGTGTATTGGAAGGGAATGCTGATTCACCCATTCTGAAGTTCCTGTTTGTCCCATTGTTAGTTATACTGGTTTGTACCAGTTAGTTATACTGGTTGGTCCTTCTCCAGTAGAAAGTAGAGGGATGTATTTTTACTTACAAAGTGCTACAGAGAGCTCAAGTGTGTCTGCTTTTTTTATTTTCCATAATAAGTGATGGAAGCACCACTAGTATTTTCTGTTGTTCTTGCTCAAGAAGGCCTCAGGATATACTTTATGTCTTGCCATATCATCAATGCACTTACCTATGTTGACATCCATTCTTTAGGTGTAAGCATAAACAGTCCAGGACTGGAATGGACTTTTAAGAATTAATTTTGTCCAAACTGCCTGAATCAAGGTAGGTGCAGTGAGAAAATGAAGGCAGAGTTCACATCTAGTGGATATCTAAAAAGTGTATGTAAAAGGAATGCTTTCAAGCAATGTCCAGTTTTCAATTTCCTAACTTGTCATAGAGCTTCAGAATGTTCAAAGAGGGTAAGGTTTTCCTTCATTTACATGCTAATAGAGTTCTACCCTCCCCAAAAAAATATATTACATGTGCTAGGAGTGCACAACTTTGAGGCAACCAAGAACAGATCACCTTAAATCTGACCTTCTACTGATGCCCTGAGAAAATGAAGAGCTCTAATTACGCTTTCTTTTTAAAAATTTTCACGTTGTCCATGACCATAGTATCTAGAATGCTTTATGGGCCATAGCAACAGCTATGTGCTTCAGTCAAAAACAACAAATTAAAAGTACAAATATTTATGGATACTCTGTTAATTTGCATGCCATTATAAGACTAAGCTTCATTAAAATTATACTCAAAGCACTCCTCTTAAAGGCCATAGTTGATCCTAAAGCTCGGAGAAATAGCAACAGCAGGAAGAAAAGCAATGAGGAAAGGTAAAGGAAAGGTGGAAGTGGCCTCTACTCTGAAGTTTTGTAGAAAACTTGCTTCAAAAGACTTCCAAATGCAGATAAAGCCTTAGAATTGGTGGCATGAGGGTCTCTCATCCCTCAAAATAGTCAGTGTAGAGAAGGATGAGCTGTTGGGTGTTTCTAACTGCATGTATAGCAGCTAGGAGAGTTAACAGCTATTCTGGAGTGCATGAAAAGGGAGAGTGTGAGCAGTCTTTTCAGTTGTTCAGTCTTAAGTAATATGTATATTCTGAACCTAGAGAAGTCTGCTTTTGCTGATTGACTTGTTAACAACCCAAACATTGTTAAAACTGTTTTAAGTACAGCTGGTACAGTGCATTCATAGTGGCTACACCAACGCCATTGAAATACTAGCCTGCATCCAGGTTAGTGCTGTTCTCATCACTTGGCTGGAATACTTTCTGCGGGTATGTGTCCCAGTTTGTTTTTTTTTTTTGTTTTTTTTTTTTTAATGTGTCTCACAGAAGCAAGTCTGTAAGGCTAATGATTACTGTTTCAGTAAACAATTCAAACTGCTTAAACAGGCTTTGTATTGCAGTTACAGATAATTTTCCTGTTAGGATTTTGGAGAGAACTTTGGTGTGGACAAGCCTCAGCAGGCCCTCCGAAAGCATGTTTGAAACTTTTTGGTATCTTAACTTCTTTAAATCTTGTGTTGGAAAGTACATGTTTAATAGTATTTATTTTTGTTCTTAAACATGTTTCAAAGTTAAAAAGTTGAGGTCCACAGATTGAATTGGAGGACAGTCTAGAGGTTCTTTCTGTGCCTGTGTGACACCTCAACAGTGTCACTTTATAGAGGGGAAGAAGGGCAGAGATTAATGTTTTGGAACAGGGCTGCTAGAAGAAGGGACTAACATAAGAATAAGAATTTTTAAAAATTGAAGTAATTGGAAGGAGGAGGTGGACACTCAGGAGAAGATGTAATGTGACAAGCATAAAAAAACTACCTGTAGAATGACACAAGGGAAGAGGAAATCTTAACATATAAAAAATGTCTAAGTGGGTTGAAATTGGTTAAAACTTGCTTCTGGATGG